GGGAAACAGCTCTGCTACTCTTGGCTGGACTGTATCGTGTGCTCAGAGGTTAGCTGGCTATCAACTGGTCTAGGATGGCATTGGTTAGGACAATTCTCTTATTCTCTAGCATGCTAGCCTAGATTTTTTGCACGGCATAAGAGGGGTTTCAAAAGAGTGAGCAGAATTATATACAGGGCCTCTTGAGGCCTCAATTTGAAATGGACACAGCATTGCATCAGCTGGGTTCTTGGACAGAACAAGTCACAAAGCAGCAAATTTTCAAAAGCTGGATGAATAGACTCTACCACTTAATGGGAGGAATTTTGAAAACATTGCAAGGGATATGAATACCAGGTGGAGAATAATTGAGGAAATTTTTACAATTAACCTATTATAAAATAGAGCTAAGTTTTCCACTGGGCTTTTTTTTCGTATACATTCCATAGCTTGTTCAATCTCTAAAGTTATGGATTCCCCAAATAAAAGCTTTACTAATAGTTAGGGTCTTGGAATTTATTTGCCACATGTCTAAACCAAAACAAAGTTAAAATACTCAATATTGTTAAAAAATATATGTAATTAATCCTTGCAAGTCTGAACAATCTTGCCAAAGTAAAAAAAAAAACAAAAACACTTTTTTTCATTTCCCTCATTAATTCCATTTGAGTACTGACCACCAAAATAAATATTGGCACAACCGTAGGACTTTCAGCTCTTTCAAAATGGAACTAGAAGTAGCAGGAATAGAATCAAGGGGGTGTAGGGTCAGCACGTGCTGTGTGCTTGTAATGCTGTTCTGCCTAGTGTCCCTGCTGATTTATACTTGTCACTTACTAAGGGCTCAGCTCAGCTGTACCATGGCGCCAACTTTTTTGTTGTTGTTGTTATTAGCTTTATATGAAGGTGATTTGTGTGGTGTAGAAAAAAATGAATTGTGGGAACTTAAAAATTCAGGGTAATCTTGGTGTAATTTTGGAAACTAAAATGAAGAACACAGCAGGAAAGATTTGGGTTCTTCACTTCTAAGTTTGATAAGGTACTCTAAACAAAAAGATACCCAATGTGATTGCAAAATAATGTGTGTGTGTGTGTGTGTGTGTATGCGTGGGCAGCGTATAAATTATTTTCCTTCTACACGGATGTCATTAGGTAGTCTGAGATCATCCCTTGCCAGAAGGCTGAATATGGTAATCAGCCACTATTTGTAACATTTGCATCTTATTCTTCAATATATTTAATACATTTCAGTACTCTTAAATAGCAGATCATTTTTTTGACATTAACATCTTTATAGTCTGTAGATTTATCTGTCGACTGGCAGCTGTTTAACACTCTTGGAATTCCAATTTATGAAAATCAATGTAAAGAACAAATCCTGATTGTCCTAAAATTTTCAATCTATGCTAGAATAGGAAATATCTGATAAAAGGTGACAGTTTAATGGTCTAGGTTTCATTTTAGAAGTCAGCATCCAAGAGCCTTCTGCTTATGACACAATAGCTTCACTATTATTAGTGTTTGTTGTTTTTGTGCATTTATGTAGATGGGGATGATAGAGTTTAGAGACTGCAGTGTCTCCATGTGCTTTCTGCTGGAACTATTTCTTATCAGTGTGATGGGCGATTGTGAAGACATGTTTGAGGAAGAAAACACAGGGGAGCCACTTAAATATCTTATTTTTCAGGATTAGCATATATTATGGAATATCTTTAAATAATCCAGTATCTTCAAGGGTTATCATTTGAGTGGTGATACTAAGCATTGACTTGGGGTCAATTGATTATGGGAATAACAAAAACTATTTTGTATAGCAATATATGTAGCAGTTGGAATAATTATTAACTGATGATGGGTACATAGAGTTGTAGAGTTCAGAGTTTACCATAAAATATTCCAATAGGAAAGATTTCCCATGATCTGTGATGTTATCCAAGTTCATAACTAATGGTAATACCTTTTTTCATTGGATAGCATTTTTTTCTGTTTCACATTTTCATCTTTATAACCTGACTTGATTCACATAACAATCCAGTGAGATAGTTAAAGGTAGTTTTCCTCATTTTTTACATGTGAGGAAACTGAGGATACTCTCTATAACTGAAATTCATGAACTACTAAGCATATTAGATTAGCAAAAGAAAAGGGCAATATGCTATTCCATTCATAGGGATACAAAAAATAAACAAGATATTTTTAAGTAATGGCAGGCAATACGATAGAGCAACATAATTTAAAAACAGTCACTGGGGTTTCTTCAAACTGTGTGAATAGAGAAGGTTATAATGAGGGAGTCCTATCTAAACTAAAACTTTAATGTCAAGATGGAACCAATGATATGGGGATCAGGAAAGAATACAGCTAGTGCAAAAACCCTTAGATAGAAGCCAACTTGGTAAGCTTGCAAAACTAGAAAGCCAATGTGGTTGTAGTGAGCAAATTATAACTGGTATAGTCTGTAATCAGAGAGTTAGGCAGGGGCCAGATCTTGTAAGACTGTGGCCATTGTAAAAGATGTAAATTTTATTGTAAATGAAATAGAAAATTATGGGAAGGTTTTAGGCAAGAGAATACCATACATTTGAATGTGAATTTTTGGAAGATCATGCTGTTTGCTTCTGGGCAAATGGATTTGAGAGCAGGAGTCCAGTAAGGGTCTATGGTGGTTGTCCATGAACGCAGTATAGAGGCTTAGACTTGGTATTGCAATGACAGCAGTGAGTAGCAGCGACATCACATATATTTAGTAAAAGTGCCTGAAGATTTGCCTGTAAATGAATAGGGAGAATGAAGGAAAATGAGGAATGGAAAATGGCTCCTAAGATTTTGGGTAAATTACTGGGCAGATGATGATACCATTGATCACATTAGGGGTAAGTTGATGAGGACTTGATATGGCAAAGTTTACCTACTTGTTAGAATTAAGTCCAAATGTCACATAAATTGGTGATGTATCCTTCTGGAGCTCAGACAAGAGGAGCAGGTTGTTATTAATGTGGGTCACATTGGTAGACAATATTTAAAGGCAATAGATTAGATCCAGAGAGAGAAGGTAAAACAGATCAGGGAGACCAGGGCCCTGGAGCACATCAGCACTTAGAGTTTTAGCAGAAATACTTTTAGAGATAAAATTATTATTTCTGCAATGTTTTCACCTTTTACTCATGACTGTAACCCTAGTGATTTATGGTATAGTTATTTCACCTAGTCCATATGTATATAATCCAAACTATGAGCTTTTAAATACTTTTTATTAGATCTTTGTTCTTACTTTTCAGCTTTAACTTCTCTATATATAGTTTTTCATGACAAAAAATCCCTTCTTGGCCATGAATGGCATAAATAGTGGAATTTGTAAGATGGTGCTTGGCACCAAAATTTTTTTTCTTCATGACAATATTTACTGACTCTACATTTTTTTTTCTCCATAGAAAACACACACACATGCACACACACGCACACATACACACACACACACCCAGGTATGGACTCACAATATGATAACATATGCCTTTTCTGGTGGCCTAGTGAGACACAAGTGTTAGATAAGATGGAATAACTTCCTGTGAAGCATAAAGACAATTATTATTACCAGAATGCTTAGGTTTAAAATAGATCTTATTTCAAATTGCTCCACTGTGTATAGTAAAAAATACATTTTTTTTTCAGGTTTAGAAAACTCTACTCTCAAAGCAAACTCTCACACACACAGAACAACAACAATAAGAACAACTACACATGGACACAACACAAACTCCTCATAAAATGAAAAAGGAGGGGGTACTAAACTGTTGACCAAAGGGGTGCAGGAGTTAATGTACTACACGTGCCTGAAATTATTCTTGTTAATTAGTGTGTGAAGACAACCAATCAGTGGATTATGCTTGACCTAAAATTGGGAAAAGTAGCTCTTTTGTGAAGAATAAAGTCCTTGGGGCACTTTATTGCCAAACTAAGAAGAATTCCAAATGGTATGTAGGGCATATTTGCATTGAAAAGCTTTAATTGGAGTTCCTTTTAAAGTTCAAGGGGCATATAAAATGGCAAAAAAATGGGGAAGTATGTGTCAAAAATTATCAAAGTCAATGCAATTTCTTTATTATTAGCCTAGGATCTGAATTCAGAATCTTTGGGATCCATATTAAGCCCCTTAAGTAACTTTTTAAATTTGATTTATTTATTTATTTATTTTTCTTAAATATTTTATTTATTTATTTGACAGAGAGAGACACAGCGAGAGAGGGAACACAAGCAGGGGGGAGTGGGAGAGGGAGAAGCAGGCTTCCCACAGACCAGGGAGCCTGATGCGGGGCTCGATCCCAGGACCCTGGGGATCTTGACCTGAGCAGAAGGCAGACGCTTAACGACTGAGCCATCCAGGCGCCCCAGTACCTGTTTTTAAAATGGTGGATAACATATTTCAAGTTGATGCAACTGTCTTATAGATCTATTCTATTAAGAAAATCTTTTTCCCCCCTTTTCTTGCTTACACATCTAGTTCTTTTTTTTTTTTTTTAAGATTTTATTTATTTATTTGACAGAGAGAGACACACAGCAAGAGAGGGAACACAAGCAGGGGGAGCAGGAGAGGGAGAAGCAGGCTTCCCACCAAGCAGGGAGCCCGATACAGGGCTAGATCCCAGGACCCTGGGATCATGACCTGAGCTGAAGGCAGACACTTAAGGACTGAGCCACCCAGGCGCCCCACCTACACATCTAGATCTTAAGCTTTCTTTCCTTGTGTTCTGAAAAAACGACTCACTAATTCAGCCCAGTGCAGGCTGTGAGGCAATGTAATTTGGGGGTGGAGATACAATGGCATTTATTGCCGTTGGACAGGACTTTACACTATAGTGATGTCACTAATGGCCATGTTTCAGGTCTTCAATTTATTGTGGAAAGGCTAGACAGGAGCCCAGGGTGGGACCTCTTCTTGCCTCAATGTGAACTTCTAACAAATTCTATGAACTCTTCAAATTGTGAAGGACACAAATACAATCAAGTTTATTTGTTTCTCCTAGGAATGTGGCACAAAATTCTGAGGTTGATTTGAAGTCACACAAGGTAAATTTTCAGAATGTTTATTTCTTTTCCTGTTTTCTTAAGCACTTGCTATATAGTAAAACTGCCTCCTAGGAACAGAATGTTCTCCGCAGCTGAAGAACTGATCTAGCTAAGCAAATACCCAGGTCATCAATTATCATTTTTAAGTGTCTCAGAAAACATTCTTTGAGGTAATCCTTCCTCAAATCCTGTTTGAAACTGGATTTATATCCTGGGGAAGTGGGCAAACATCTTGAGGAATTAAACAGATGAAAGAAAAATGGAATGTTGTCACGCATAAAGTTGTTATCTTTAAAGGAATGCCTAAGAGAAATACCTCTACAAAATGCTGGTACATCCAGATGGAGGATTATTAAACTAAGTGATTCCTAACTCATGGCAGGAAAGATGGTGAGGATTTGTGAACAGTACATTTAAATGAGGAAGGGAGCTGAAACAGCCCAGAGAATTCAGACATGTGCTCTTTGTTCTGATCTATCCCATCTTTCCATTTCTCTTTACCCAAAATTTGCCCAGACTCTTTCATCATAAGGACTGTTTAATACTAATTTCAAATCCTATTAAGCAACTCAACAGTCATTCAGTGTTTTTAAAATTAAGAATAAACATGATTATAAATTAAATACAAATTACTTCCAGTGTTATAGATAACATATTATCAATAATAATAGTAATATAGTCACGCCCTTTCAAACTGGCATTGACAGGGAAAGGAGCTTACCCAACACTGAACTCACAGTCCCAGAGAGTATAACACAGGGGATGTTTTAGATCCATGCATCCCTTAGCTGACCTTAAATCTTGCGAGGAAACTTCGAAATTCCCCCTTTCTTTCTTTCTTCATGGCTTCATTCCTTAATTTCTTCCTTCTTTCCTTCACTATTCCAGAACAATTGTAAAATTTTGGATATGAAATGATTACTAGATAATTTTATAAGATTTTTGTTCATTTATTTGGGAGGGAGTAATACAATTGTGGTTATGTAGAAGAATGTCATTCTTAGGAGATGCACGCTAAAGGTCTTAGAGATATAGTATAATGATGTTTGCAATAGATTTTCAAATAACTTCAAAAATGTATACACATACACACATATAGAGCAGATTGTTCAAATTTTAACACATTTCAAATCTAGGTGAGGAGTACATGGGTGTATGTTGTAAGTTTCTATTCTTCTGAATGTTTACATTTATTATTATTATTATTATTATTATTATTATTATTATTATTATTATTGGAGTTGGGGGGAAAAAAACTGTGGTGGTCAAGTTTTTGTCAGTGTGGCTAGGCTACAGTACCCAGTTACTGAATCAAACACTAAACTAGGGGTTCCTATGAAGATGTTTTGTAGATGTGATTTATGTCTACAATCTATTTACTTTAAGAAAGCTATCCTGGATAATCGTGGTGGGTTTGATTTAATCAATTGAAATTATTAATAGCAGAACTGAGCTTTCCCTGAAGAAGATATTCTGCTTGTAACTGAAGCTTCAGTTCCTACCCTGAAGTTCTGGCCTGTTCTTCCTAAAGGCCTGCCTTCTAACTTTGGACTTGACTAGCCAGACTCCAAAATCAACCAAGCCAATTATTTTCAATAAGTCCATTAACATATAGCTTCTACTGGTTCTGGTCCTCTGGCTGAACCTTGACTAGTACAGACCCTTTCCTCCAGGATCTTAAGATATAACTGTGGAGACATGTAAGTTTAAAAAAAAATGGAATACAGAAGGTAAGTGCTATATTAGAGATTACCAGGGATTTCTATGACAAACCACATGAAGGACACTTAGTTCAGACAGGGGGCAATTTCAGAGAAGACTGTGTAACTTTCTCGGAAGAGATGCGTATTTCAAGATCTGAAAACCATGCCAAAAGTGATTAAAAAAAAAGTAAAGAAAGTTATTTTCAACTGTATTTAAAACTAAGTTCATCAACATAAGGAAGTTAGTTGTAGGCATTAGATACAAAGATTAGACACATTATTTGAGGAGGGTTGCATGACTTCATTGAATACCATTTTTCAATGGAATTTTCCAAGAGTCAATTAAAAGGTGTGAGTTATGGGTAGGAAGTTGTGTCAGCATTTTTTTTGGGGGGGGGGGATTATACCTTCTGATTTACAAGGTTCTGTGAATGGATTTACTGTTCAATTAAAGGTAAATAGAGAGGATACTTAAAGCTTGCATTCCCTATGTAGATGGCATGACTATTTGTCAAATAAAGTGGGTTTTTTTTTCATATTTTCAGCACAAATTCACAGATTTGTGACCGTATGACAGCTTCTCTCTTAATCCAATGTACTAATTTACTCTTCATTTTTACAGATTGTAGATTTACAAGTAGAAAATAAATTGCCTAAAATCTAAAGATACAATCATTGACAAAGATTAATTTATATTCCCAAGATTTCTCAGTTTATTCCAAAATAGCCAAAATAGCAGGACTGGAATGGCCACATGAAGGTATAGCTAGTACTGATGGAAGCAGGGAGCCCTAAGTAGACTTGATCTCAGGACTTGCCATCATGACCTGAGCCCAAAGCAGACACTTAACTGACTGAGCCATCCAGGCACCCCTAAATAAATCTTTTGACGTTACTAATTTTTGTCAATCTGATTCATTTTCTCTTAACATCCTTTCCTTTCGTGCCCATGTAAATTTCAATACATGGTCTTCTACTTCTTGTTTTAAAACAGCTTTTACTGTGAATATAAATTCTTTTCCCAAAAATGTTTTTTTGTAATGAGAACTTACAAGATCCATTTAATCAAAATTTTAATCACAGCAGCTTTAGTTTGCTTTAATGATACAAACAAAAGCAGTGTTTATGAAGGAAGCCTAAACATTAGATGTTTTCTAGCCTAAGAACAAAATGAAAATCGAGAGAACAACTTATTGGCAAAAAGGTTGTTTTGTCTAACCTATATGCAAAATAACCCACAACTGTGTTTTTATTCACCCATTGTTTTCAATCACTGGAAGATTTCATGGGAACCTAAAGCAAAACAATTGCTAAACTATATATTTAGAAAGATCAACCCTACATGAATATGGAATGCCAAGAGAAAGAAGCACGGGTTTAGCAACACCTTCTATAAACTGAACAATTTCTAAAGGGAAGGCAATGCAGACAAGTATTAAATGAGAAAGACAACCAAAGCAGGAGGACAGATTTAACAATCTGAGCTCAATTCCCTAGAGCAAGAGACATCTCAAATTGATTTTGGAAATTTGCTCAAGCTTAGAGGCTAGCTAAATCCATCCTGCTTTTCAAATTTCAGATGCTTAGAAAAGGCATTTTCAAGACAATACATAGAAACTGCAAGAGAGAGAAATAGACTAACATACCACCAAACTTGAGGGTAATTGATTTAATAATCTGTGCTTTTAGATGGATAATAACTGTGAGGACAAATTTGGGGGGGCCTAAAAAAACTTGAAAAAATTCTTTTTCACAAAAACCATGATGCATGAACTATTGATTTTCTTGGACTGCCACAACAATAACAACAATAAATAATATTTATGGTTCAAGGGAAAATCCTTTTCCTTGTTTCCTGCTTAGGTTTCAAAATGAAAGCTAAACCATGATGCTTATTTTTTTTAAAGAGCTTATGAAAATCCAACACATATTTAGTTTTTGAAAGCATTATAAAGAACGAGTGATTCCAAACACTCTGTGCCCTGTCATTTTCTTCCCCCAAGGTTGGTCAGAGAAGCACATTCAAGGAGCTGCAGATCATCACTTTATCTATAAACACTTGTCCCATGGGTATGAGGCAAAAGGATAATTATTGAAGTCGGGAATAGCCTGTGTCCCCACCCTTGTGATTAACTCAAACAAGAAGGGATGTGGCAACAGCAGATCCTGGAAAACTCAAACTTGAGATAGAAACCGTGTTCTTGTTTTTCTCAACAGATTATGAAAAAACAGTGCCAAATGATCCTGCAATTTGGTAAGGAAGACCAGGAAAGCAGAGCAGGAGAGAACAGCAAACAGGAGAAAAACCTTCATTTCTCAATTTTTTTTTTGTAATTTAGAATATTGTTAGAATGTCGAAAATGAATTTTTGTTAAGGTGCTTACTTGATTAATATTCTTGTCTGCCTTTTTTAATGCTTATTTTTTTCTAGAAAAATATTTAAAGTTTACTATATGTTCATAAATAAATCAAATAAACTTAAGTAATAATTTTAATGAATTATCTAAAATGTAGCAGAGTAGGTAGTTACAAATATCTAGAGAGACTGAAATTAAAAGCGGTTTCTTTAGAACAATAATAATATTAACTTGAGATTATGAAAATGAATATGTGAATTGAGGAGAGACTTTCATGCTTAAATTTGATATTTATGTAATGCCTCACAGTAATAAAAAGTAAACTTTTGCCATTTTCATTACTAGTATTATATTTTTGATAGAAAACAACTAATTTTCTGTGCTCTGTATTTCTTTCATTAAGATATGAGAATGGAAATGAATATATACATATATGTGTATGTAGATAAGTATCTATTTTCATCTATTATTACTTACATAAACATATAACTTTTATCACTGAAACAGTGAATTGAAGAGTGGAAATAAATCCTTAAAGTCATAACAACTTAAAAATATAGTGCTTTATATGTTACAAAATGTTTCCCTATACAGTTATGCAAAATCTAACATCAATTGCGTAAGATTTAACAGATGAGAAACTAAGGTTTAGAGAAGTCAAATAACTTGATCAAGGTGAATGTAGCTAATAAGGCAAATGAACCTTAAATTATGTTGCCTTCCTTTGGGTCCACTGCTCTTGATATCATGATTCCTTCCAGGCATTCAATCTAGCTTACTAAGCTAACAGGTTAGCCTTTGCTCATTACTTCCAGTAACAGAATGACCACTGACTCAAACATACTTCCCATTTTCATTCTGAACAGCTTAAGTAGGAGTGATTTCTTTCTTACACTGAAGTGCTGGTTTTGGTTCTGTCCTCTGGAGTTGCTCAAAATAAGTCTAAACCATTTTACCACATGCAATCTGTTCATTTATTTTGCAACAGTTGATAAAAGTCAAGGTGGGGGCAATAATGTGTTATACTATGAAATTGACAGAGGAAATGGATAAATTGAGGGAGAGTAGAACAAAGTGACCTTTTAGAGCTATTTGGGCATGATTTGAAACTACAGATCAAGGAGGTCAAAAGAAAGTATGGGAGATAGGAATATAAAATTCATACCTAGAAGATATTCAGTAATTTCTTCAACTTCCTGAACCTTCAATATCAGCCAAGTGTTAGGAACTGGGAGGAGAAAAGACATAAAAATAAATAGCATATGATCTGAATCCAAAGGGAGAAGGATGTGGAACATGAAGTTGTGAGATTAAATAGCTTGACCAGGTTACCCAGGCAGTGAAGTTTAGACCCAGGATTAAAAAAGTATTTCTCAGTTCCATAAGAAAGTGAGCTGAGAGTTTCAAGCAGAAAGAATTATTCTCTGATGTCAAATATCATCAATGAGTAGTTAGATAACATGCACTTGGGGCCATATTTAGTAAATTTTTAAAAGGTTGTAGTTAGGAATTAATATTCCTATATATACAAAATGAAAGACATAAACCACATACTGTGATTTTTAATGAATCTGGAAGTGAGAAAAAGAGTTGGGGTAGAATTGTATAGGAAATGTTATCAAGGAGAGCCAGCTATCTCTATGTGTTTGTGCGTCAGAAGAAGTCTTATGGACTTCCCATCCTTAGGGCAGGGTTCCTCAACATCAGCACCATTGACTTCTTGGCCATGATAATTCGTTGTTGTAAGACTGGCTGTCCTGTGCATTTTAAGAGGTTCGGCAGCATCCCCAGTCCCTCCATACCAGATGCCATTAGCACTGCCTCCCCAGTCATGACAAGCAAAAATGTCTCTATACTATGGTAAATGTCCCCTAAGGGGCAAAATTTCTTCCCCTGCCCCTAAGTGAAAAGCACTGATTTAAGGAAAAAAAGTGATGAATGAGGGGAAAAATTTTTCAAAGATGATATATCTTACAAAGAAACTTGATTTTAGAAGGCAATAAGGAAAAGAATGACAAAAATAGAAGAGTGAAGATAAGAGACTGGTGAGGGTATATTCATAAATGAAGGACTCCATTTTTTTTTCCCAGAAAAGTAAAAACAGCACAGCTATTAAAATGAGAAGGTAGTTTGATGTTAGTAGACTTTTCAAGGATTGACGAAGAATAGGATTAAGGTTTTGCAAAAACAACTTGCCAAGAAATATTGAGGGAGCAGCTGAGGCTGGATAATAACCTGAAATGATGCCAATCAGCAAGCTGATGAAATATTCCCAAGCATTGTTCAGCCTCAAGGGAATTGATAAATAGGAAACAAATGGTGAAATTGATCATGGTTTGAGGGTTTAACAGGGCAGGTGTGGCTCTGGAGCAAGATGGACAGAAATTAGATCCGTGGCTAGAGTGTACCTAAAATGATCGATGATTAGGTCCAGGCTCAGGTACCAAGAAGAGAATCACTGGGAATGGGAAAACCAGGGAAGAAAGAAACGGAATATTAATAGACTGTTTTGTTTTGATAAAGTCTACAAAATGTGCTTTATGTAACAAGGTGGGACAACTCCAGAAATCCAGATAGTTATTCAAAGGATTGGGTGTATATATTATCCATGGGATGAAGAGAGCTTGCTAATAGAGAAATACAAACAGGCTTTGTACATTACATATACACTGCTTTGAATGTTTAGGTACCCCCCTTGTTGGTCATATGTGTGTATGTATATATTTACACTCTATTTATTAATGATCTCTCTCTCTCTCATCATCTACCTTTCTATTTCGTTAACATGAGAGGCTTTTTTTTTTTTAAATCATTGATTTTTTTTATATCCTAATGGAGAGTAAATGTGCATACATAATCTATATTAGGACTCATTAGATGTAATAGAGAGCTTATTTATTTTTGTTTCCCACTGTCCTTTTAAACCTATACAGAAGAGGAAAATTATCCTCTATCACTGGATGAAAGCTTGATGAAGAGCCCATGAATTCCTACACATTTTTAGATACTAAAAAATTCTTTGGTCACTTTAAGTTGTAAACACAGTCTCATCTGTTCAGTGAATTAAGGTGTCAAGTCACATGTATTAACTGGTATTTTCATCTCTATTCGAGAAAATGTATCTTCTCATTCCTTCACCAGCTAATGTCAGCGTCAGGGGAGTTTCTGACTATCAGAAAAATGAATCGTGGCCATCTTCCCTCTCCTTGTCACTCAATTTTAACCCCACTGCTAGATGTTAGTTCTAATCCCTCAGGTTGGTATGAAGGGAAGGAAGATAAACAAGGAAGCTAAGAAAGTTCCTCTTTGACTGGTACTATAACATGTAGGCTTCGTGCTTCCTGAGTCCAGCAAATATTTAAAGCTGTGGTTTCTCTTGCAGGGTCCTTATGGGTTCCTTGAAGGCAACTTGTTGGTGTCCTTGGACTATAACTTCCATGATATGACTGATACTTTTCTGTTGCCTGGCTACTATGATTCTCTTTAGCTTTTTCCTGCAGGAGACTCTTACTGTTGTACTCTTCTGGCTATACAAGAATATCTTCTTGGGTACACTTACCCAAGTGTCATTGCCCCCATACTAATTTTCCTTCTGCATATATCACCCTCAGTCCCTGGGATTCATGAACTTTGGCCTGCCTGTTCCCATTGGAAGTACAGTTACTTTCCTGTGGCAGCCCCCATTCTCTGCCACCAAGAATGCTTTGTCTTCTGGTTTTGTTGACTGTTTCTTTTGCTGTGCAAAAACTTTTTATCTTGATGAAGTCCCAATAGTTCATTTTTGCCCTTGCTTCCCTTGCCTTTGGTGATGTTTCGAGGAAGAAGTTGCTGCGGCTGAGGTCGAGAGGTTGCTGCCTGTGTTCTTCTTTAGGATTTTGATGGACTCCTGTCTCACATTGAGGTCTTTCAACCATTTTGAGTCTATTTGTGTGTGTGGTGTAAGGAAGTGGTCCAGTTTCATTCTTCTGCATGTGGCTGTCCAATTTTCCTGACACCATTTGTTGAAGAGACTGTCTTTTTTCCATCGGACATTCTTTCCTGCTTTGTCGAAGGAGGGGAGGGGGGTGGGGGGATGGGTTAGCCTGGTGATGGGTATTAAAGAGGGCACGTACTGCATGGAGCACTGGGTGTTATACGCAAACAATGAATCATGGAACACTACATCAAAAACTAATGATGTAATGTATGGTGACTAACATAACATAATAAAAATTTTTTTTTAAAAACGCTCATGTCTGAAGTATACCAATAAGCAAAACAGTGGGTTTCAAAGCATTTTTACAAAATCCTATCTTTGTTTGAAAACAACGTATGGTGTTTTATAGAATGGAAAAGTGCTGGGATATACAATGAATGTTAACAATGGTATTTTCTGGTTCATAAAATTAAAAGTGTTTTTTACACCAAAAAAAAAAAAAAAAGAGAGAGAGAACGCTTTGTCTTTTTTAGGCATGATTCGACTTGGTGTCTTCCACTGGTGGGAATGTGTGTAAAGCTTGCTGGAGCAAGCTGGAGCCCCTCTTACTAGCCTTGGGATGATGTCTCAAACATGCCACCACCCACCCCCCGCCTTTGTACGAAGGACCATTAAGAGCCCCAGCTCAGCAATCCTTTTACAAAATCTCCACTCTTTCGACCCTTAATCTGTCTACATTCTTTTGATCTTTTATTATCTGTAAACTGAGAAAGAGGTTTCTGGGTGAGGAGCCCAAGTATTATATAATTACTTTTCAGATATTGTCATTGAAAACTTCTAGTGTAGTAAGTCATAACTGACATGTTTCTCAGTAATCTTTCATAACTGGTACTTCAGTTAAAACTTCCGTTTAACATATTGTTTTATATGTAAAGAGGAAAATAAATAGGTAGGGTTTAGCTACATCTCTGACTTAGTCATTACAGTTAGGGACACAGGCATTACTAAAAGGTGATGCAATTATAATGCAAAGAGAGAGAGAAAAAAACATTAAAAGTAAATATAGCAGTGAT